TGCAGGTCCTTTAACTCCTTTATAATTGACAGAATTTAAAATATGTTTCAAGGACACTTGCAACACCTTGAAAAATTAAGAACTGGAAAAATGACCTTGAGAACTTCTAAGAATTTCTAGTCAAAATAATCCTCAATAAAAGCTTCAAAGCAAATAAGAAGAATTGATTAAATTATATTCTTCAATGCAACAGCCCTCGAAAAATATCATTTAGTTCTCTGGATTGTGCTTGGAACCTGAAACTCCTTGAATTGATTTCAGAGTTCCTGCATTAGAGTGTAATTATATTTTTGATTACTTAAAATGCTTATCATTTCCATAACCATTCAAAATCACCCTTCCAAGCAAAACAAATTAAAAATCTAAAAACTATAATTATTCAAGGAAAATATAAAACAACTGTATATTGCCTATAATTCAATTGATTGTGTCATAATGTTGTAGGGATTGCCAGAGTCTGAYGATGTTGCTGATCTAATGCAACAAATGTGGGCCATGACACAAGAGATTAAAGCTGTGTCCAAGCCAGGGAGACAAATTGGCCGATTTGAAGTATGTTACAGTATACAATCATCCCATTTATTCTTTCATTCATTCATCTCATGCATCCCTTTTTTAACCACCAATTGTGACCCTATTTGCGAAAACCAGGCTTAAGGAAAATTGCTTTGAAATGCATTTTCAACGCGTTAATAATGTTCCTCAACGCGTTCAAAATGTTCCTCAAAGCAATAACAATGTTCCTTAACGCTTCCACAATGTTCCAACGCTTCAAAATGCATATTAACGATTATATAACGATTCATAGCTTCAAATCATCCATCTCTAAAATGTTTGCCATTTTTTTATAACAGNNNTACTTAAAATGCTTATCATTTCCATAACCATTCAAAATCACCCTTCCAAGCAAAACAAATTAAAAATCTAAAAACTATAATTATTCAAGGAAAATATAAAACAACTGTATATTGCCTATAATTCAATTGATTGTGTCATAATGTTGTAGGGATTGCCAGAGTCTGATGATGTTGCTGATCTAATGCAACAAATGTGGGCCATGACACAAGAGATTAAAGCTGTGTCCAAGCCAGGGAGACAAATTGGCCGATTTGAAGTATGTTACAGTATACAATCATCCCATTTATTCTTTCATTCATTCATCTCATGCATCCCTTTTTTAACCACCAATTGTGACCCTATTTGCGAAAACCAGGCTTAAGGAAAATTGCTTTGAAATGCATTTTCAACGCGTTAATAATGTTCCTCAACGCGTTCAAAATGTTCCTCAAAGCAATAACAATGTTCCTTAACGCTTCCACAATGTTCCAACGCTTCAAAATGCATATTAACGATTATATAACGATTCATAGCTTCAAATCATCCATCTCTAAAATGTTTGCCATTTTTTTATAACAGGAATATATATTAAATTTAATATTAAAATTAGTATACAGCTGAAAACGTTGAATACAGGATAAAGAATACAGGGTATAAAAAATACACCGACCAACAGTGCATTGCGGTCTTGAAATACAACCATCAACAATGCATTGCGGTCCTGGAATACAACAACCAACAATGCATTGCGGTCTTGGAAACGTTTTCTGATGCAGCTGTAAGTCTTACTTAAAAGCCGTGTAGGAATATAGAAATTCCAATGAGAAGCCATTGAGATATAATTTTTTAATTTTTTAATTTTAATCAGGCTTATCGGCTTAAATACATCTTGGATCTATTATTAATCGCTTGATATTTTACATTTAACAATTTCTTATTCATTTGTACTATTATTAATAATAATTAATTGTACTATTATTAATATTCTTAACCTTAGATTGATGGTTGTTATGATGTCAATTTACTTTCTTACACATGACATGCAAGCACTCCCGTCGACAGTACCCTTCACAAGGTAAAAAAATACTTTCACATAGATAATGCCATGCATAAATAATGCGCAAAAGAAAGAATAATTAAGAAACAATATGAAATGAGATTAGAGTTTAAGTTGGGAAGAAGAATAAATGTATAACTCTCAGAGAAAACAGGTTTGACTTGTGTCGATGTTTGTGATGAGAAAGCTGTTATAAAATTGACAATGGAACCTCACTCTCGTGAAACCTCCTTTCCGCAAACGACCTAAAAGATTTCGTGTGAAGAGATACATRCTGAGCCCCGTTTCCAAATCATCTGCCTCGAATATCTTTTATCGTGGTACTTTTTTTGTTGTAACAAGAGAAACTAAACAGATTCTCTCTACGCAAGTCTACTTTAGTTTGATACTTGAGGAAATTTTTATAACATTTTCTCAAACATGTTTAAGAGTTTCAAAGCTGGTAGATTTTGAAAAAACAATTAACTGAAAAAAGAAAAAGGTTTTTCTTCAAGCAGTGGAATTGAAATAACAGATGCGTGATATAATAATAATAAAAAAAACTTTGTGARATTTCGGGCGTTGTTCGGAGTAAAAAATGAATACTGTCATGTCGCAGCTCCAAAGAACATCGATGGTAATTGGTTGGCTCAACTATGGACGAAGCACAGACAATAGAGACTGTTGTTCTGGCCAGCCAATCACAATTAAGTTTATATACTTTTTTACTGTGTAAAAATTATCATTTTAAGTGATGTCTAAAATCCTTTTACTTTTTAAATAGCAGCATTAACAGCGGTTTTTCAAAATGAATTTCTGTATTAATACAACGTAGCTTTTTTATTGAATATTGTCTGTGGTTGGTCTCTCCCCTGCGAGAATTATAACCAAAGGGGATTTGAGTAAATGACATGCATATCGGTAACCATGGACACGGCTTTTCTCTTCGCTTTTTGCACATATGACAAGGTCCCTATAATTCGTGTTTTTTTTCCTTTACGTAGATAAAGTTCGTTGAGTGTGCTTTTTCGTCTAGTGGAGTAGTAGCGAAACAGAGCAACGAGACAAWTTTTAGCCAAAACTTCGTATTTGACAGCTGCGCAATTCACACAAATTGAAAACTTACTCCAGTAATTAATATTTCATGCATAATATCTCAAAACCAAGTAATTCTGCTCTTCGACGTGAATCGTGTTTACATAGTATTAGTTTTTTAAGAGACGAAGCATTTTTAAAATGAATGATTTTATTGAGTTTTATTTTTCTAAGCGAAAGTCTTATAATGTTTCTTGGTCCGCTTTAGCACCAATTTTTTTAAGTTTGTAAGAACTCAAGTTATTCCATTACGGTAGAATTAAAAATTTATTGTTTTTTCTTAACCAATAATTGYTGACGGCTGGTGATGAAATATATTGTATTCTGATGTCCATAAGTCGATCTTGCCGGGGATTTCCGTTTCTTTTAAAGTATATCTAACGAAACCTCCAAATAGGTAAGAAAATCTCCTCTTCAGCTCATCTCATTATCCCTCTTCATATATCCACTGAATTATTTGACGGTTTGGCACTTGTTTTGGCAGCCATTTCACTTTTAATKTTTTCGACACCTTGTTAAACAAGTTTGTTTAGGACATTTTTAGACTATGATCGAGACTATGAGCGCTTTAAAAGTTGACTTTATCCCCGTGCAATGCTRGCCGTTAAAAAAAGGAGTTTTGCCATCTTGGCTTTTGATTGTTTTATTTATTTGTTCACCTTTTCCGTTAGTTACATAATCAGTTTTTATTTTTCATTAAAAATATTCATTTCTGTATATRGCTATATTTCAAAAAAGGTTGTCGGATAAAATGACGGGTGTCAATGGTCGAACAGCGATTGCACGACCGAAATTAGCCATGGGTTTTGCTAGTTGAAAGGCAAAAGCAACTGATTTATACTGTAAGATGGTCTGTGGTAAACATTGGCTCCATTTAGTCGCCATTTCTATGTAAGGTGAATCCAATAAGTTAAATTTTGTTTATCAAAACAGTGTAACCATAGTCCCTTTCGGTCGTGCAATCTCCCTTCGACAATCGTAGTTCGCCGTTCTCCTCGACTACCTTATTTGAAATAGCTGGGGATATATATATACATATATCTAGTTTTGTTTGCTTTCTTTATCAAAATTGCCTTGATTCATCTACCGGGATATTTAATACCCGAAATTCCTTTCGTCCCTACCMKTTGGCGCCATTTTCTCCSCGAAGATCCGTTTGACAAAGGAAATAYAAAGGGAGCTTTCCATTTAGGCAGAACTGGCCGGCCAGTCCACTCTATTTAGAGGTATATAATGCTTTTTGTCAACATTTTTCAGTCATTTCGAGGTTTTSTGTAGRATAATGGRTAGAATTTGAAAATTTGAATWTCCTAACTAAATGGGAATGATATATAATGACATTTTCTCTGGGTCTGGCCAGCCAGYTCTGACAAATGGAAAGCGCACAAAGAAACCTGGTTTTCATGTACTTTACTTTAGTGACAAACATTGTTGTTATTGCAGTATTCAAGACAATGCTCTTCAAAATCACACTCRTGCTCATTCCCTTGTTCATCAATCACGCATGCGCCGGMCAGTTCTTCAGYAGTGTCGCTTCTGAAGGYCAMGTGACCCTCAAACATTCAACAATCGACTCAATTCCGGCWGATCACRTGATCATTTGCTATTACAAGTGCGAAGAGCTTCCCACATGTCAAAGCATCAGCTATCACTATGACAAAAAGACGTGTGGCCTTAACAACAGTACAAAGAHAAGCCAGCCAATGAACTTCGACTATCAGCATCACGTGACGTATATGCCTGTATCGAGATAGGCTCGCACCAGTCCTCTCAAACTTGAAGTCGACTTGAAATTTGAATGTCAAGTGTGTAAATTGTTAGTAATAAAGAGAAAGTTTTATTCGTTACGCCAAATTTCATTCAACCAATAAACACCACACAACATGGAATCAAGAAAACATGATATCATACGGCATGAAACCGTGATACTTGCACACGCTACAAGCAGCATCGCCATCTCAGGAATGCATCCTGCGTAAGTCAACCCTACAAAATGGATACAGCTGTCGTAGGGTTTTAAAATAATGGTCTCTTTCACGGCTCCCTGCGCCATCTTGAAAGGTAACCGTGCCTTTACATCGAAGCGAGACAACCGTTGAGCGTGCAATGATAGAAACCTATAAATTATCTGTTGGTATGAAAGAAGCTTTCTATCATTGCACGTTCAACGGTTGTCTCGCTTCGATGCAAAGCCACAGCTACCTTTCAATATGGCGCAGGGAGCCGTGAAGGAGACCATTATTTTGAATCCCTACGATTTTCACACGATTTTTCGTTKGCGCTGCGACGCAATTTTCTCAAAATCACCAGCGCACGATGTGGCTACACGAGCGACAATTCTGTATCGATAAAAAAATCCTCACAAATACTTATTTGAATCTCCATAAAGAGATATACAGCTATTTCAAAAAACGTTGTCGGGGAGAACGGCAAATGGCGATTGTCGAAGGGATATTGCTCGACCGAAAAGGACTATGGTTACACTGTTTTAATAAACAAAATTTCATTTATTGGATTCACCTTACATAGTAATGGAGACTAAATGGAGCCAATGTTTACCACAGACCATCTTACAGTATAAATCAGTCGTTATTTTATTTCACGGAGCGAAACCCATGACTACTTTCGGTCGTGCAATCGCCGTTCTACAATTGACATTCGCCATTTTATCCGACAACCTTTTTTGAAATAGCTATATGAACAAAAACAGCTCAAATTCGATGTTCAGCTTTCACTCCCTTCACCCAAAAATCGCGTCGGCGAAAAATCGTGTAGCCACGGCTTAAGATGTCAGTGCAACGAAGATTACGCTAACGAGATTACGCTAACGAAAAATAAATAAATAAAGAGGTAATGTAAAAGACACTATACCATCTTCAATTTTTTTATTTATAAAAAAAATTTAATTACATCCAACATCCGTATTGGCTTGCGTCATTTGAAAACGCGATATATTTTTTTTTTGCAAATTGAATTTTTAAATTATTTGTTTATTTAGAAAGATTATATTTCATTCAACGTTACTTTCGTTGACCTATTTCCATATAACTATTACGTTGGGGTCATTCTCGATGATATCGTCTAGCTCTTGGTGCGATAAACCTGCAAAGAAAAATGGGAGGTGTCCGTAGTACAGAGGTGTACGTAATGCAGAGGTGTCCGTAATACAGAAGTGTCTGTAATATAGCTCTATATAGGTGCTCGCAATATAGACTTTCCCGTAACATAGAGGTGACCGTAATACAGAGGTGACCGTAATACAAGAGTGTCTATAATATAGCTCTTGGTGCTAGCGGATTTCGTATGAGTGGGACACCGTTACCGCACTGGGCCGTTACCGCACGGTTACCGGACCTGGCGTGCACAATTTTGGTGAACCAATCGGGCACTAGAATTTGGTTATAGTACGATTACAGTCACAGTACAGTACCGTCCGTTTCCCACTCATACGAAATCCGCTCTAATATAGACTTTCCCGCAACAGAGGTGTCCGTAAGTCCGTAATACGAACGGTGTCCGTAACTAGAAATGTCTATAATATAGAGGTGTTCGCAATATAGACTTTCCCGTAACATAGCTGTGTCCGTAATACAGAGGTGTCCGTAATGCAGAAGTGTCTATAATATAGAGGTGTTCGCAATATAGACTTTCCCATAACATAGAGGTGTCCGTTACGAAGAAGTGTTGGTAGTTTTGATATGTCTGTAAAATACATGTTTCCGTCATAGGTAGCCCATAATAGAAAGTTGTACACACGCGGGCTCAAGGTAAGCTGCAAATAACCTCTCGGTAGTGGACTGTCATCTGGTTACGATACACAACAAACAAACAAAAAACACAACAACAAGAAATATATACTCACATGTTTTGCAGCATATTTCGTCGTAATTGTGCTTGCCATTAAGCCACCTGAGAAAAATGTATTAAGTTTTATTTTACTAGTTTTTATTGCGCATTCATACGATTACGAACATG